GGATAAAAAAATACTAATAAAATGAATAAATTTATTAAAATAGAATAAATAAGACAAATAATAAAGTTGCCTCATATTTACAGGGTGGCTAATAAATATTTTAAATTAATTTACATATATTTAATATGACAATCTTGTCATAATATGCTTCAATTGCTACTGTCTATTTATTTTATTGTCTAGGACAATAAAAATGCCTTTATTTAACAATATTTTCTTTTTTATAAATTATCAAAATGCATTTCAGCTTTATCAAATTTAAGCCCTCTTTAGTTCTAAAATAATAAAATGTACAAATTATTTTAGTACAATCTAAGTGTCATTTGAATAAAGTACAAAACATACAAGAAGTTTATAGCAATAGTCTTAGAGAAACAACACTTCTCTGATATTACAACAATAACAGAACACCCAATACATACGTGGTAAAAAGGATTGCTACAATAATTTACAATAAAATTACAAATGCACCTTATTATACAGTGGTGCCTTGTTCTTTAAATTTAATTCATTCCTGAAATTTGTTCAAACTCTGAATCATTTGAAGTCCAAATCAATTTATTCCATTAGAAATAATGGAAAGTAAATTCCCAGACCCTAAACAAAACCCATTTCAATAAACTTAAAACAGCAAATACACATAATTTACAGTAGAAATAGCATAATTAAACATTCTAATAATAAATTAAAACACAAAAGCAATAAATAAAATATGTAAATACTATATAATAAAACAAAAATTGTATTTATTGGTCACATACCATAGACATCAGCATCTTAACATAATGTGTGATTTAATTATTTTTTAAATTTATTAATTTACTAAGTTAAAATTTTATTTTTTGCTTAGAATCTTACTTTAAACTGTTTACTTCACATTTTGTTTGAATAAAATCAAGTTGTAATGTCTTCAGATAAAAAGCATATTGGGTATATTATGTTTTATGAATTTCAAAAAAGGACATAATGCTATAAACAGTAAAAAAAAAAAACAAACAAAAAATTGTAATGTGTATGGGGAAGATGCTTCTAAACTACAAATACAGTGGAACTTCACTTAACAAGCATAATTCATTCCAGAATCATACTCGTAACACGAAACACTCATTAAGCGAAACAATTTTTCCCATATAAATTAATGTAAAATACGATAATGCGTTTTACGCCAAAAAATACTCAAATATTTTATGTATAACGTTTATTCAAAGAAAATTGTACAATGTGCATTGTTAAAAAGCGTGAATCATCATTATCTTTTCTTCTAGCATGGAATGAACCAACCTGGAATGAAAATTCAATTTGAAGAAACCAAAAAAAAAAAAAAAATCACAGATAATATGTTTGATAAACACTCCAAATGATATTCCAAATTCTTGGGCTATGTAATGGCTATAATTAAATATTAGAAATTAATTAATTTGACTAGAGGTAGGGAGTTATGCTTCCATCTCGTATTAAATTTAATAGTTCTAAATAGTTAATTTTTAATTCAGACATTTCTAAAATTTAATTTGGAATTGGTCATTAAATTTAATGAGAGATGGTAGCATAACTGCCTACCTCTAATCAAATTAATTATTTTCTAATATTTAATTATAGCCATTAAATAGCCCAAGAATTTGGCATATCATTTGGTGTGTTTATTATATAATGGGCCATATGGTTGTTGATGTTTAAAAGTAATATGTGTGAACACAAGTTTGGAAAAATATGTGATCACAAGCAACACTAAGATGCTAGCGGAACAAGTTCTAAACACAGACTGATGGAGCATGTGCACAATTCAAGACTTTCCCTCTCCTCATCACTCATTATTCGAAACATTGCTCGTTAAGCAAGGCAATTTTTTACAATTTGTTTTACTCGTTATGCAACATGCTTGTTAAGTGAGGTTCCACTGTATGTCAAATTTGGTTTAAAAAGTTCCATTCAGAAAATTTTGAACTAAAGGATACAAAGCATACAGGTCCCCCAAAAGTTCTTGACAAAGAAAAATTGCAGGATAAAATTATTAAAAATCAACAAATAACACAGTACAGTATATATACCAAACATGCCAAAAATAAAAGGTAAAAAGCACTAAAAAACATACAACTAAAAAAAGCATAACTTGAGAGAAAGCGATGACTTGGATACAACAGATTGCATTTATACTTCAAGCACATTCTTTTACTGCATACAGTTTGAACTTCGAAGCATTGTTCAAACCCTGAGGCAAATTTTTGTCAAATTTTGCACATTAGAATTACTCAAAGTATGAGATACCACTGTATAAGAGATCTTATTGTATTTGTCAATAAAAGTGACATCAGATCTACTGTGATACAATGTTTTATCTGTAATAGTATATTTTGTGTGGGTCATTTTCTAATACTGTTTGTGAGTATATTTATAATATGGTATCTGGGTGTCTAATAATCTGTGTTAGTGTGCAAGTTCTTGATGTATTGTATTTGCTATTTGATTATGCCTACGTAAATTGTCTGTGCTAAGAACTTGCAACCAGAAGATATATGTTGTATTGTTTCTGGAAGAGTATGGCATTTTCTGCAATAGTCATTTGCAAGTAATGTAGCCTTCAGAATGTGTTTTCTGTAGTTTTTAGTATTTATGATCTGATCTCCAATGGCTACCATAAACACCTCTGTCTCTCTAAACTTGCAACTCCTAGCCAGCCAGTAGTTTGAAGCAGTTTTGTCAACATAGTCTGGAACTATATCTTAGGCATGCCTGCCATAAAGTGCACGACTTTTCGGCACATAACTGCTTAATAGTGTTGATGTTATTTGTGTTGAACTATGTCCAGATGGTCAGCAAGTTTTAATGGTGTGTTGTTACTATCTCCCAGAGTTATAGCTTTATATAATCTTGTTGGTTTTTAGTGGAAAAACTCCCATATTGTCTGTATTTGTTGTAATGGAGATTAACTATATTAGTCAGGCTACAGCCACCATCTTTATGAGGAAGAATAAGTCTTTCTATGAATAATTTTGGGTGATATTGTTTATGCTTAGTAAGTGTTGTTCTTGTTTTCCTTTGGAGTTGCTCAAGATCTGTGTGTGTCAAATGTATAACTCCAAAAGAATAAGAGAATACAGGGACAACATATATATTAATTGCTTTGATAGTATGTTTTGCATTTAGATGTATTCTTACAAGGGGAACCCACAGTATGTAATCACCGATTTCGATGAAATTTTGTGGATATGTTGTTTATTTATTTATATTTAAACTCTACCAAATCTGCAGGACGTGCTTTTCGGGCATTCTTGAGAAAATTATAAAAGTTTTTCTACAATTATTAATACCAATATGAAAGAGCAATTCACAAGGTCCTGGAGTAGCATGATTAGTTAGTGTCACAGATGGAGGTTTTGTTTTCAGGTTCAATCCCTGCATGTAAGGTTTTCTTTTTTTTACATTTATAATTTAATCTTATCCTTTTAAAATTTGTTATGTATGATTTTTATGCTGTTTTTAATTAATTATTGAATGTAAAATTTATTATTCAACATAAAATATGAGGACATTTAAAAAATTTTTTTTTACAATTTAATTTTTTTTGCCAAATAAAATATAACTCACATCAACCATTAACTGGTATGAACATGATTAACACCTGAGTATCAAACGTATTTTCGTAACCCCTTCTGGGCTCCTCTTCAAGTTTTTTCAATTCAAAATAGGCTGAATCATAAAATTTAATGTGGAAGGGCTCTTCTCCTTACATTAAATTTTATAATGATTTCATGCTCCTTACATTAAATTTTATGATGATTTCATGGGCCTAGAACAGGGGTCGGCAACCTGCGGCTCGCGATCCACATGCGGCTCTTTGGATGTGAAGCAGCGGCTCTTTAGTTCCATACGCAAATATTATTTATTTTATCAAAAAAAAAATTTAAAAATCGTTCTGAATCGATTAACTGATTGATTAACGAGGATTCGGCACTGATTCCATCTCTCAGCCACTTGTACTCGCTTTTCATCGCACCCCTCCCCCGTGACACGCGTCGTCACTGTCGTCAGTCCGTCGGAAGCTCTTGAATAACACCGTCATCGGATGTTTCTATAAGGTTTAATTCGCTTTCGATGCAAAACAATTCTGAATAAATAGATTAGTTTTTTTATCAAAAAACTTTATTTATGCAAGTACTATTTATTGTTGGCAAGAAAAAATTTTGTGGCTCTTTAAAAACTTTGAAATTTTGTAAATTGTAATTTTTGGCTCTTCCGACTCAAAAGGTTGCCGACCCCTGGCCTAGAAGAATTTACGAAAACATTCGTTACTCAAGTGTTAATCATTTTTGCCAAATGTATATATATATATATTTGGCAAAAACTATTTGGCCAAATATATATAAAATTACAATAAAACTATTTGGCAAAAATGATTAACAGGGTAATATATATTATAATGATTGACTGTTTCACAATAATATGACAGCATTTTGAGTAATATTTTATCATAGACATAGTTAAAATCAAATGGCTCATTAAACCAGTCATACATAATCATTGCTACTTCATTCCCACGATCTTTACATTTTGCTTTAACACAGGATAGAAAATAAACTTCATTATGTTTTGAAAATATTTTTTGGTGTGTTATTTGAGAAACAAACCACAAAAAAACTGGTGGACTCAACTGGTTGCAAATTAGAGATTGTATTTAATTTAACTCATCCCAATTTTATTTTTCAAATATACTGTATACTTGTATATACCCTCAAAATGTTATTAATTTAACAATTTTGTCAAAAAAATGTAATGATATCAAATTAGTTCATTGTATTGTAAAAAAAACACTTCATTAAAGCAATTGTCACTAAATTTATAAATGCAGAAATATTTTGTCATAATTTATTAAGAAAACCAACAACAAACTACAAATTCAATTCTCAAATGTATTGAACTGAGAAATGAATTTATACTTGAATAGTTTCGATCACATGACCTGAAAAAAGCAGACGATTTTTATAATAATAATATTTTCGTACCATTTTCTTGGCAATCATTTTCAGCATCCGGCAAACTTTCCATTTTAATTAAAAAAAAATTTACAAGTTAACATTACTACTTAAAAATACTTCGCAAACCGGAACCGGAACCATTATACCAACAAAAGCATCCCCTATCGAGATCGTTTTAAATTTTTACGCGAGTTGATGTCTGTTGTAATTTTTCATTATTTAATTTCTATCGAAAGAAATTCCGATTTTATTATTAAAATACTGTGCTATAAACAAATAATCTTTATCCATAAAATAAATCTTGAAAATAGTTTAATCAGTGAATCTTTGTGATTTTCCGTTATTGTGGTGATCGGTGGCCGTTGCTTTTTAAGTACGGTGATTTTTTTTCCCGTGCTTCTGATTGGCTAATCAGAATCAAAGCTTCATCCAGGACACTTGATCTGTATTCTGCCACTCACATACGTCTTGGGCCGTCGATACAGGGGAGCTGGGGATTTTACCCGGGCCCGTAGTGATTCCAAACCCTATAAAATTAATGTTATTTTCACTAACGAAATAAAATCTTTAACGCTGTTTTTTATTAATTAATAACTAGTTGTGGTATCTGTCTGGAAAATGATACACAGTAGTATTTGATAGTTCGAGGCCGACGGCCGAGCAGTTAAGGCTGGCAGCCTACCACTCTTGGGACCCGGGATCGAATCCGAACGGGGTCGAAATCCCCAGGAATTTTTCGAGTGTTGGTCCATCCGGACATCTCGGACCTCGTTCCTCACCATCTGGTTGCCCCATTGTCGACCTGGCCAAATCCATAATGGGCTTGCTAAAAAAAAAAGCTCTCTTAGTGCCCACAGGACGGAAAGAGTTTAAAAAAAAATAGTTCGAGGCCGTTCGACTCTGAATTGTTTGAAGTCCGAATCAATTTTCCCCATCAGAAATAATGGAAAGTAAATCAATTTCCAGACCCTAAACAATAGTCATTTCAATAAACTTAAGCAGCAAATATCAGGCCGGATGGCCGAGCAGTCAAGGTGGCAGCCCACCGCTCTGGGATCGAAACCGGACGGGTCAAGAGATCCCCAAGAATTTTTCGGGGAGTGGTCCGTTCGGATATGTCGGTCTCCGTCCCTCACCACCCGGTCGCACCATTGTGGACCTGGCCGAACCCATAATGGGCCTGCTATAAGAGGCCCTCTTAGTGCCCACAGGACGGAAAGAGTATTAATTTAAAAAACGCAGCAAATACCCATAATTTAAGGTCAAAATAACGAAATTAAACGCCTGAAGATTAAATTAAAGCAAAATATGTAAATACTATACACTAAAATGAAAATTATATTTACTATACAGTACTTCAGTGGCGTGCCGTCATTAGAAGCGATGGATGCGCCGCTTCCCTTGTATTTTCTAAATAATAAATACATATTAATTTTAATTATATGAAAATAATCGCACATTATTTTATTATAACCGCATTATGTATCTTATTACAAATTTCTATACTACATGTGAAAAAAAAAAGATAGGATTGCTATTGTATATTCGAATATTAGTGGCGGAGTAGCGGAGTGGAAACGCTGTATTGTCAACATCCAAAAAGCCAGATTCACGCATGCGCTTTACAGAGCACCAACCACACCCGGTTTAGCCGGTGGAAGCCTAGGACCTTGGGTGGCTGCTACACGTATAACGCATCCAATTCTATCCAGGACCGGTTCCGGGCTGTTAAATAATCTATTAATTAAAAATACATTTAAAGAAAGAATTAACTGATTCCTCCTGGAAGTCGGCTTCCTATAGAAACACAGCTTCCCTATCATCAAATGTCACGGCACGTCACTGCAGTACTTTAGTAACGATTCTGTAGCGTTTCCTAAAATCACTATGCTTGGCTTTCTCACAAATAATCCTCTCGGAAATATCACAAGCCATTGCTTCTATTTATCTACACTATACACCCGACAGAAGACTTCGGACAGCATGTTATTGTAATCCATCTCTACCTTATCGTTCAATAATATCAAACAGAAACATTTTGTACACTTATAACTATTTTGTATTAGTAAACTTTTATTATAACTGAGAATTTTACGTAAAAATTTTCATATTGATAATAGAATTTTAAAAAATTATGTGCAGTTGAAAAAAGCTTGTGTAACAAAAAAAAAAAAAAGCTCGGACAGAGCCATTTCTGACAAATAATACCTCTGACAGTACATTAATATTTAACCTTTGGCTTGTATAACAGCGTTCATACGATCATCCATCCTATCAACAAGAGCCAGGAATTAATTTGGAGTAATTTCATTCTAAATTTGCTTGATTTTTTGCTTTTAACCATCCGCATTCCCTTCAGGACATTTTCTCAATGCTCTTTTAATTTTACCCCACATATTTTCTATAGGGGAAAGGACGGAACTGCTCGATGACCATTTTTTTTTAACAAACAATAGTTAATTTACAAAAGTATTTACACTGTTATATTCGTTGCGTTATGTTGGTGTTATGCTCTTATAGGGGTTTTTTTCATCGTTTACAATTTTTATTCTTGTATGTTCTCAACAAATATGTTACACTAGATCATATTCTTTCCACGTTTTCTCAAATTGCACCTCGTGTATCTTTGTTTTCCACATTTTTGCTACTGTTATTAGCCTGTATTTTAGTCTGTATTTGTTTAACTCGGTAAGTTTGTTGTTTTCGAATCGTGTTTCGTTTCTCGCAGTCCACAGGTATAAATCTTATTTCGGCAAGTACTGTATTATTTCACATTGTTCACACCAGTTTTCTTTTTCTTCGAAAGTTGCTGTTTCAGAGTAAATTTTTGATTTTTACATTTTTCTCATTTCTGAAAAAGCGTGTTTCTGTATTTTGTTCTTTGGCATTCGTAGAAAAGGTTCTGTTGTTTATGTCTCGTTGCACACTTTGCACAGTGAATGGGGATTCGATGACCATTTTAATGTGTTAAAATTATGTTGGGCCAGCAAGCTTTGGTGGTTTTAGCAGTATGGCAACTTGCACCATCCTGTTGGAAAATAAAATATCCATGATATTGTAACTTTTCTAATGATGATAATCATGTTTTCTCGAGGATTTGTTGATATTTTGCTGCATTTACTGATCTCTCGATGAAATGCAAATTTTCCATACCTTGGGTTGACATGCAACCCCACACCATAACACTTGCTGTAGACAGTCATGATAGAATACCTCTTGTTTTCTTCTAATCTTACTTTTTTCTATCGCCTCCAACGCAGACTTCAAACTTTGCCTTCACCAAAAACAACCTGCTTTCACCATTGTTGTGTCCAGCATTGATGCTCTTTGGTCCACTTCAATCGGTTTTTTTATTTGTGTTTTTGTGAGTAGTTTTGTCTTTGTCTAAAAAATGTGCCTGTCACAAATGTTAAGTAAAAAATAATAACATTTTCTTACCTGGTAGAAACTGTAGCCGAGTTTGTGCAGATGGATACGACAAGTTTCTTTTGTAACTTTCTTTTCAATAACTATTCCATTCGTTCACTAATTCACTGACAAGTGAGTGATGCTCCTCGATTTTTTTAATTATTTTATGCAAATGCTTGTGATCAGTCTTTGTTATGGTCGTTGGCCTTTCAGTTGATTTTTTAGGATAAATTTTACCAATTTACTGGTATTTTGAAACAATACCCCATACTGTGAAATTACCAATTTTTTATTTTTTTGCAGTTTTTCTTAGAAATTTGCTCGGCGTATTGAGGATGATAATTACTTCACGTACAGTACATCAATACTTACAGCCTTACCAGCAATGTTCCCTCTAATTTTTTTGTAGATAAGCGGAACATATACTTCTCTAAGCAAAAAAAAATTTTTGCCGAGCAGATTTTGAGCAAAAAATTTTTCTGAGCATATACAGTATATATAAAATCTTATTTTTTCCTATAAAAATTAAAATATTAATTATAAAGTAGAGATTAAAATTCATTTTAAAACATACTTTTATACGAAATACAGGTAACCCCCGTATAACACGGCACTTCTATAGCACGGATTCACTCTAACACGGTTCGAGAATTGGAAACATCCCCCGTATAACACGGTGGTTTTATAGCACGAGTTCACTCTAACATGGTTCGGGAATTAAGTAAAACTCTCGTGCAACATGAAATGTAATAAAGGGCGCGTTCTTTTATACTTCCGCGTAACTCCGCGCGAGCATTCTAATTGTTTTCGTGGCTACTTTGAATGCTATTTAAACAATATCCATTTAATAATTAAATTTTACAATTATGACCCTTTTTTTGCCTCTAAAAGCTCATTTTAGAATTATAGATTTCTCCATTACGATACTATCGATAGTGAGGGTGTCGCCATCTTTCTTTCACCGTCTTTCCTAAATGCCTACAAATAGCAGTGCAATCCCGTTGCAGACCGACCGCTATTAACGAACGCACCCAAACACTGTTACCAGTTGATGATGCTCATGCTGAGATCATCATATAGGATGAATAATCCTCTGGTAAAATATTTACTTAAATAATAAATAAATATTTTACCTATGAAAAAAAAAATGAATAATAAATCCGATTTAAATAAGGATTTAACAGCACGTTTTTTTTTTTAATTTTTGGAACCTAACCCCCCACGAACCTAACCTTTTCGCACTAGTTTTTTGTTTCGTATAACACGGCAAGTTTTTGGAACGTAACTCCCGTGTTATACGGGGGTTACCTGTATTATCTTTTGTCAATGATTTAATGTATTTAATCAAAATATACGCAGCAATAATCATGTTGCAGACAGAGTGAGAAATAAATAAACAACAATTCAAATCGGTGTGCATGCTCGCCTCCGCGGCACATAAATTCTCGTGCTCGGTAACAATTTAAGCAGTGCGCGGCTGCGCAGCTTAGAGAGGCCATTGCTTACCAGGTGCCATTTTTATTAGATTTGTGGGAAGCGAGTGTTCGGCTTTTTTCATTGTGTCGAATTATACACAACGAGGCTCTTGAGGTGTAAGTGTATGAATGCGAGAATTCGAGTAAAGGTTAAACGGTGTATATTTTCGTGTACAGGGAGGGAGAATTCAGCCGAGGCAGTTTTATCACACGGCGTGGTAGTCACATACCACAAGGCTTTTTGTTCTATCTTTATCTATAAGGAGATAGCCCGATGTAGTAAGCACAGAATTTTAAGGAGTGAGATAATTGTAGGGTTGTAGAAGAGCCCTACAAATTCCTCACCACTTAGAAATGAAAAAGACGCCACTGAGA